ATATTTATTGGCTCTTATGAGTATCTAGGACTTTCGGTCACAGCTGCGAAAATTACACAACAAAGGATTTAGTGGACTATAAAGGGCGGACCTCGTTGGCTGAGAGCCAGACTTATTTTGCATTCCCGGTATTTATATTTTCAACATTTGATTCAAGTGTGACCATGTATCGAGGGTAGTTGCGACTTATTTTACAATTTGTCCCTTTTCTAAATTTACTTGTTCTATTCTCAGCAATGCTTGTACTAATAGTATAACCTAGTTCTCCGATAATGTTTCGTAGACGTAATCATTTTTTGTTTTGGTTAATGATAACAACGTACGTATTTGTCCGCTAACATCTGTCTGATAATTAATAATCCCTTGAAGATTAAAGTTAACGTTTCTTCAATAGCCATAGATGTTGCCTCTAATATGTGAATCAATGCCAAGGATGATAGTTTTAAATAATCACTGTCAATACAAAAATTCAATATATGTTAGCTTTAAACGTAAATCAACCATCTAAGGTTCCAAGAGGTCCAATCAAACTAATTATCGCTCAAAACACTACTTGTATTGCACACAAACAATTCAGGCATCCAATGTTTTTATCAACACCATCAAAATAACATCTATCAGGTGAGACAAAATATTAAATAATACTGAACATTCCTAACATATATGCTTTTAGAAACTTTAGGGTTTAACTGCACTGTTCATCCAATAACATAACAGCGTCACACGTTGCCTTCGAGACAGTATATTCTTCCAAGTGCTCTTTCCTTTTTATGAGACTACTTATTTGAATGCTCACTTCTAGATATATGAGGATCATTGCAGATCTATCTAACCTTGCGATTTCAAACGATAATAAATTCAGATTGTAACGGACTATGAGACATGAGAGCGAGGAGTCCGTACCGCTTGTTGGGATTGGAAAAAAAACAAAATCCCCAGTGCTTATCGTCTTTTTGACTGGACTACCAGCACTGCATTGTTGTACCAAAAGTTTCAATTTGTAATCAGGTTAGCTGGATACGGTACTTTTGTTACGACGGCAATGTAGTATCTTACCCATTGTTATTTGAAAAGGTTATGAAGTTTCAAAGTACATATTTTGTAGTTGCACCTTTGATGCAGCTGTAAAATGTTTATGAAGCACACCGAAAGGCTCCGCTATCAGCATGAAGTGTATAAAGAATTCCAGCGCTTCTGTAATAACACCAAAGCAAAGTCTTTTATGCGGATGATTAGTAAGTCTTTTCGAACAAAGACCTACAAAATATTCGCGAATTTACATCTTAACTACCATCAGGAGCATACATTTTCATTGCCGGAATGGTCAGTGTTCATATGCAATAACACGGTGATTAAAAAAAACAGCGGCAATATTTCGCGAGCAGAAAGTATATAGGAATATAACACATAACACTAGAGGTGTCCTCTTATCAATTCTAAATTGAAACGAATTTAATTAAGGCAGCAGCGGTGGCCGCAGTAGAAGACTTTTCGGTCTCCTGATCAGTCACCGTGCGCTGCGCGGGTTCGAATCCCGTCCCAGGAGAAACTTTTCTCTTGGCTATGGATGTTGCGATTATCCGTAGGTGGTAGATGGTCTCTGACTGTCGAACGCGGAGGCACCACCCGGCGGATCTCGTAGGCGGATGCAGAATGTGTGCATGTTGCAGAGTCCGTATGGCATTCCCCCTTTCCCCTGTATCCCCCTATAGCCTCACGGTCCCCAATGGGTGTTTAGGCCTTAGGCCTTCGTGGTAGTTGGAGTATAAAAAAAGGTCTCCTTTTATGCAAATTTCCATACTATGACCTCCAAAGAAGCTTTGCAGATGGGTGGCCAACTTCCTCTCTGACCGCTAGATATCCGTCGTAACTGACGGATTCCCCCCTTCATCCCACAATGTGCCTGTCAGAGAGACTCGACTGACTTCAGCTTCTCATCCTTACCACGTCTAACTAACCTCCAGAACTCTTTAAGCTACTCGTAGCACCCGGTGCATTGATATTTAGGCTTTTGCCTTGATGTTCGATGTCATTACTTTCATGATATACTTTGAGGCCGGGTTTATAATTCATTTTGTATTACAGAAAAGATACCCAGAAGCTACACCCAGGCAAATTCCCTAGTTAAAATTTTCAGTCTTCGACATATAAGAGGACTGCCTCGGCAAGTAGCGTGCACCGCCGTTTACGGCATTAAGCGGCGGTAAGTCGACGCGTACTCTGTACATGTTCTTTCCAATAATGAATAGTAATAGTAATATAACTGGGAAAAGCTTCCTCTTGTAGATTGTTCCACAGTCTCGACATCCTTGGTGCAAGGGGCGGTCGTATCGGCCTGTTCTGGATGTTCGAAGTTCGACCCTGTTAGGTTGGGAGGCCAAAGTCAGGCGGGTCTGTCTGGGACGCACATCGCGCGGCGGCATCATGGAAGAGAGCTCTGATGAGCAAAGCCCGTTGGTGCAGCGATAGAACAGAGTTAGATCGTCGACGGCCCGCCTTTGCGAAAGGGTCCCGAGACTGTCTGTTAGAAAAGAGTCATTGATCAGTCAGACAGCCCTCCTCGAGCATAAGTACTGTAGTTGGAGCGGCAGTACCCCAAACGTGTGAGCAATACTCGAGGCTACGTCTTGTCTGGGCCTTGTATAGAGTGAGAAGATCATGCGGAAAAAACTGCTTCTTAGCCCTAAACAAAGAGCCTAGCATTTTGCTAGCAGCTGCCGCTATTGACGAGATGTGATCGTGCTAGATCAAGTCCTCGGGAACTGGACTCCGATCAGCCGAAATGAATCACTCTTTGGCAGAACAGCCGTACAGTACTGTGTTTTGGAAGCATTAAAGTGTACAAGATTGTTGCGTCCCCAAGCAGTGACAGCATCCAGCTCTCGTCAGACAGGAAGTCGTTGCTGGTCTTCTAGTGACAGAGAAAACAACACCCACTAAGTAGGTGGGTTCATAGAGAAACAAAATAACATTCCAGATACTTATCAAGAGCCCATCTAGAAAGCATCCTTTGATTTGACTTATTCATTATTCTGTATTAACAAACGTGGATTCTTTAGGTGTGTGTGATTCTGCTTACACTTGGCAACCCCAACAAATTTCCATGCATATGAACCGTTAAACACTTTCCTTTGTTCTCATACGTTTATTTGCCTTACACTTTTGATGAGGTTTGAAACTGCATTAGTCAAATTCGTGATTCCTTAATTTTCGACGGAAGCAAAACGTAAAATGAATACATACCCAATTCTGGGTTCACAAAGAATTTGTTACACTTCTTGAACACGTGTATTTGCAGGAAAACAAAGAAACATTTCAGACCTTTATCCAACGTTTTCTAGTGTAAGAGCCTTTTGATCTGTGTTTATCCCTCCAAAGACATCCCTTTATCATTTGAATTGCGCATGTCCATACATATTAACTAACAATTTTGTGGGCTATTCAACGTTTGATTTTTGTTACACTTGGATTACCTTAACAGATGTGCGTTATGAACCTTTTAACATTGTTCCTTTGTGCGGGATGCGCAGATTACGGAAAAACAGAGGCATGATAGAAAGATTTTGTAAAGATCACTCTCAGAGTTGACCAATTTCATAATTTAGAGTATGAAACCAAATCCCAGCGGTTTATAAAGTTATCGATAATTGTACAATAGCTTTGCATAACCTAAAGGACCTCAACTTCAATTCCAAGCTCAATTGTATTCCATTTTAAATGAGTACTGATATTGATTATGAAATAATAAACAAAGTTGCAGCGAGTAGTGGTAGTAATAGTTATTAGTACCAGTTCCATTGTTGGAAGAATCAAATGAAATCCTGGAGCTAGCCAGCAAAGCACTTTGGTACGGGTAGAATAGTTTTTACATTACTTTCACATTTTGCATACCGAACATAACTTACTCAAAGTTTGAATTGTGTTGCATTTAACTTCAAATACGTAGAGATTAATCAAATATAGCCTTCCTGATTTTGCTATTACACCTCAAAGGAAGCAGTAATGTTGGAAATAAACACGCAATTGATTTTTATATTACAGCATGTAACACTAGTTGAACGTTGATTCGTATGAAGTTGGTTATAAAAGGATTTCTAGCCTTTTGTTCTCTATACATCAATCCACCCATTTTCCTTTATTTCGTAATGATAATTTCAACATCGCATACCTCAATACGGGGATCCGTAAACACGGGCCAAACAAACGTAAGCACCCCTAGAATCATTCTTGCACCGTCTTGAGCCCTAGAAATATTGCTATTTTTTTTAACCATCCTGTACTTATATATTTTCCTATTTTATTGTTATATTCCAGAGAAACCTATACATACAATGCTGTCCCTACATAAAAGTGACAGTTGTGGTGGTCATGTGACACCTCATTTTAAAGACCCTTATGAGTGCTTATAGTCCTAGAATATAAAGTCGCTATCCAACCTTTTTTTCTCATGAGTCCCGTATTCTATTTAAAAACTATTCCAAGATGGCGCCCAGCCGCTATCACGAAACTTTTACCAGTCACTATTGCGCTAAAATATATTGTTTAGTACAGTAACATGGAGCAATAAAATCAATACCCCGTTAATGCTAGCTTAATCTGTTCAAAAAGTAGGCAGGGGGATTTTGAAAAGCTCTATGTTTAAAGAGCCCAGCTAATCTATGTTTATCTGCATAGTATTCCTTTGTGATATGTAAAATCCATGCCCAGTATCTACAGCTACATTGAAGCTTTTGGAGCTTCTGAGATCTGAATGAGTTTTATACCTTCTAAGTTTCCGAATGTACAAGTAGGTTCCATGCTCTTGTGATCCTCAACAACCATTTTTAAATGAGTGAACATGCACATAGGTACGGTAGATAATGCTTGTTAAACTTTGTTGTCTAGGAGCTACTGCAAATATAAATTTGAGCTAAAGAACAATGATTGTTTGACTTTGATGTCGTTTATTTCTTATTTGAAAATTTTGATAATTCGTTCTTATATCACATACTCTTCTATCTTCACTTTTCAGTTTGTTGTGTGTTTCCTGTAGGAAAACAAAAATATGTTATGCTCTACCTTCTAGAGTTCTTCGGGCGTTCTGATGTCCACTCTGTATACTGTATAATGCCAGAAATATATTGTACAAATAACTAATGCAACAAAGCGTTAACTGCCCATTCTTTACAAGAAAATTTCTTTTACAAAGACAATGGAACGTGTCAAGGAACTTCAACCTCCATTCAAGAGTTTCTGGAGTAGCCTGTTGATACTAAGGTTGTACGGCTCTTGTAATCATGCCTTATACTATTGTATCATTTGTGTAATTTTTAACTGCTCGATAATCGGATGATACATTTCATACTGCAGTTCTGCACATATAAATTGAAAACTCGACTAAACAGTTACTTCGAAATTTGCAGTAACTAGGAAGATACAATAAAGGGTGCGTCAAATTGGCCATAAATTTAAGATATAAGATGAAATCCTGGAAGTTTATTTTTCATTTAAGTTTATTCGCTGTAGTTACAGTAAGATTAGTTATTTCTTCGTTTTGGAGAAAGAAATGAATATAAAGTAAAGAGTTTTTGAGAGGCTCTGTAAATGCGTATATGAGAACAAAAACATTTTAGATTCTTTTAAAGATCTTAATAAGGTTGATTCACACGTATGAATTTAGTTTAAAATACAAAAAAGACTTCAGAGAACTCCAGTCTTCATCTGAGTGCTCCTAGGGTAGCCTGTTGATACTGTGTATACATCATTTTTCTGTTACCATGCCTTATACTACTATATAAAAACAATTTTTGGAGTTTTCAAGTGCTTGATCATCATTTTATACTTCAAAAACTCCAAACATTAGGAATTCGTTTCTGTACACATCATCCGAAAAGTTTTTATACATAAAGTGTGAGGCATGCTCTGAAACAGTAGCTGTCTGCAGTAACAACAAAGACAATAAAATCAAGTTAGCCGTGTATGGAGAAGTTATCCCTTACATTTGCAGTTATTAAGTGATCATATTTCACATCAAAAAAAAAAATGTATAAAGAAAAACTTATGTTACTGGTTGAGTGCTGACACGTCTTTGGTAACGTTTCTGAATGAGTTAAAGATTTGTATGAGAACAAAGAACATTTTGGAAGTTCATGCAATGAACGTTCTCATTTGAATTTTTATAGCATTTTATATATGACTTTTATACTTAGAAAGCTCGGAAAGATTATCAAAAGGGTTTTCACAAACTTTTTTTGTGAGTGAGTTGTTAAACATGCGGCAAACTACTAACAACGGCATCTGCAATAAGCAAACAGCGACAATAGGGACAATGGGGTTGATTTAAAGGCGATCTTACCTCTGCAGGTAAATTTTGTGTCGGGTCCGGTCAGTAACGCGTCGCGTGATACTGACGGATGTTTTATCGGTGTCGGAATATACGCAAACGTGGGATATGAGTGAGTGTTGCGGTGAGGAGAGTCTGGGGGCAGAGAGCACTTTTCGCTACAGCCGCAACGCGAGCACTGCAGCAGCGGTAAGCGCGGAACGCGCGATTGTCGTTCGGCGGCAGCGTCAGCGGCAAGACTGCTAGGGCAAGGGGTGGGGGGTTCGCGGTAACGGGTGCCGGGTTCTAGCGACTCGTACAACAACTGCGGCAAATTCGGACGAAAGCCGTAAGGCCGTTTGCTGCCCCACAGACACACTGACTGATATTCTTTGTCACAGACGCCGCTGACGCGCCGGGTAATCAGCCTTCTCTACCGATCGACATATTATTGCTGAATCAACAGATACCTAGCTCAATCGTTTTTGAAGCGAAGCGAATGCAATCGTTTGAAAAAATGGTGCAGGTGCTTGCTTCCAGGTTGTTTATAATGTATGCGCAACCACCATTTTCAAAACCAAACGAATACAGCGGTTGAAAAAATGGTGAATGTGCGCAACTTGTACGCTGCTTATAATATGTGCACTCCCACCATTTTCATAGGATATTGTATAAAAACGTTGGATGCCAAAACTCGTTTGGACATTGAAACACGACATTTATGAGGCATTCTAGCAGCTCATACAACAACTGTAGCGAATTCGGACGAAATCCGTGAGGCCGTTTGCTGCCTCACAGACACACTGACTGATATTCTTTGTCATAGACACCGCTGACGCGCCGGGTAATCAGCCTTCTCTACCGATCGACATATTATTGCTGAATCAACAGATACCTAGCTCAATCGTTTTTGAAGCAAAGCGAATGCAATCGTTTGAAAAAATGGTGTAGGTGCTTGCTTCCAGGTTGTTTATAATGTATGCACAACCACCATTTTCAAAACCAAACGAATACAGCGGTTGAAAAATGGTGAATGTGCGCAACTTGTAAGCTGCTTATAATATATGCACTCCCACCATTTCCATAGGATATTGTATAAAAACGTTGGATGCCTAAACTCGTTTGGACATTGAAACACGACATTTATGAGGCATTCCAGCAGCTCATACAACAACTGTAGCCAATTCGGACGAAAGCCGTGAGGCCGTTTGCTGCCTCACAGACACACTGACTGATATTCTTTGTCACAGACGCCGCTGACGCGGCGGGTAATCAGCCTTCTCTACCGATCGACATATTATTGCTGAATCAACAGATACCTAGCTCAATCGTTTTTAAAGCAAAGCGAGTGCAATCGTTTGAAAAAATGATGTAGGTGTTTGCTTCCAGGTTGTTTATAATGTATGCACAACCACCATTTTCAAAACCAAACAAATACAGCGGTTGAAAAAATGGTGAATGTGCGCAACTTGTAAGCTGCTTATAATATATGCACTCCCGCCATTTCCATAGGATATTGTATAAAAACGTTGGATGCCTAAACTCGTTTGGACATTGAAACACGACATTTATGAGGCATTCCAGCAGCTCATACAACAACTGTTTACAATTCGGACGAAAGCCGTGAGGCCGTTTGCTGCCTCACAGACACACTGACTGATATTCTTTGTCACAGACGCCGCTGACGCGGCGGGTAATCAGCCTTCTCTACCGATCGACATATTATTGCTGAATCAACAGATACCTAGCTCAATCGTTTTTAAAGCAAAGCGAGTGCAATCGTTTGAAAAAATGATGTAGGTGTTTGCTTCCAGGTTGTTTATAATGTATGCACAACCACCATTTTCAAAACCAAACAATACAGCTATTTGAAAAATAGTGAATGTGCGCAACTTGCAAGCTGCTTATAACATATTCACAACCACCATTTGGCAAAGAATATTGTTTAAAGAAAGTGGATGCCTAAAACACGATTGGACATTGAAACAGGACTGTCAACGGAACCAAACGGTAGCTAACCATTACGAAATTCGTGATGCGGTAGCAAATGATACTGCTTAAAAGCAAAAGTTGAACTCACAAATTTAGAACTGCCACTAAAACTACATAATCTGGAATAAAGAATTTATGAGGCGTTCCAGAAGCTCGTACAGCTGTGGCAAATTCTGACGAAAGTCGTAAGGCTGCCCCACAGACAAAATCAAATCAAAATAATTTTTTTTATTATCCTAAGAGACATTACAATGTATGTATAGGATTCGTCAGAATAATAAATAAACAAATAAAACAACGCAAAATAAATATATGTATAAAAACAAACACACAAATAAATCATAAAATAACAAACTCAGAGACGGCCATAATAGCATTTACTTACAAGAAATTTTGTCAATTACGTATACATATTGAAAATTTGTGCACCCAATATTTCCGGAGATCTGACGCCGATCTTATGAAAACCACTTGTGAATATTTTGGAGTAAAACTCCACAATCTCTCTCTAAGGTAGCCTCACACTTATTCGGTATCATCGCGAAGTATCATCTGCATATAAAACAAATCTACCGTCATAGGAACAGAGCTCAAGCTCATGTAAATATAGACTGAATAGCACAGGTCCTAGAATAGAGCCCTAAGGGACGCCTTTGGAGATGTGGGCCATATCGGACTTGATAGGCGCATTCAGACCACTATCGACGATACTCACGAATTGAGACCTATAAGTCAGCCACTCACTTTACCATAGGGCGGTCATGTTGTCCGATGTCAACCCTTGATGATAGCCTGGCAATCGACAGCTCAATACCAAAGAATCGCTGATATTTCCGTAGCGCCTGATTTGTAATTTCTTTGCACTCGTAATTAAAGTGACTATGATCTATAGACTTACCTAACGGACTTAGATATGAGGCATGTAAGGCTTACCTGTAACAAAAAGAAATATTATTCATTAGACATACACGTCTTGGAAATGGACATATTTGTATTGATAAGACTAAAGCAGTAGGTACGAGCATGTTAATTTAGGATGTATATCTAGTACAAATATAACAAAGGACCTAGTGAGCTCTCACTACAAACTGAGGACTATCGGATTTCATCTTCTGGTTCCTGGACCAGATATATTGACTACCCTTGAAGTACTTCTTAACGTTAAACGAATATCTTAGCTTTTTCCAGCAGCTGCCACTATTGATAAGATGTTTTCGTGTCAGATCAAGTGCTCAATGATATGGATGATAACCTCTAGGTCTCTCGTCAGAGTGGAAGTGGCTGCTAGTCTTCTCACTAGCTTGGTCTGACACTCTGAATTCCTGCATGCATAGTTCTGTCATTAGCAAAGCTGTGGCTCGGATTGATCGTACAGGAAGGGATGTTGTTGATGTGATGTGACAGCCGCGTTGACTTTGTGGGCTGAAGAGGAGCATGCGTCATTTACGATGGATACGTTGTGGCCAGAGAGGAAGTGAGCCACTTATCTGCAAAGTTTTTCTGGGAGACCATAGGATGGAGGTTTGTACAGAAATTTTGCAACATTGAAAAATCTCTAGACTCGACAGTTTTTGTATAATGTGGAATTCAGGGGTTGGATGAACTGCCTAACAATCCTTGGACCATGCGGTTTGGAGAAATTGAAAAAGATATTTGACATACGAGATTCCAAGTATACAAAACCTGGCACGCCTATCATTGTTTTAGGACTACTATCCTTGCCTGCTCTATCTAAAATAGAGTTTAGCTGGTCAGCCAGGTGAAAAATTCAACTGAGGCCCGCGAAAGTTCAGCATAGCGTATAAATTAGCCCAATTACCGAAGGAGGCTGTTTAATTTACATAATCTGCTTCAAAATGTAAATTTTGATTTTACAACAAGTCCTGCCACGTTTATGAAACAGGAAGTCGAGTCTTACGTATTACACGACTAATTTAACCACAAAAATCTGAATAATGCTGTGCTAGACAGCTCGCAGCCGCAGTACCGTAAGTTGCAGTCATTGCATGTGTTAAGCTAACGTTGCCTAATTGAATGAATGAATTCACCGTCATCGAAGCACAGACCACTCTAGAATATTTGTGCGCATCTACACCCGCTACCATTCTAGGCTCTATCGCGGAGGCTAAGGCGACCTCAGGTTCTATCTATCTTTTACATTGTCGTTCCAGTGTGACACTTCCCAACTAACAATTATCACTCCTATTAGAGTTGCAAGAATGATTATACAGTATTCCTTATGCAGCATTGTATACTGTAAGAACATTGGCAAAACCCTCTTAGAACAGCTATACAAGCGGAATCGGCACACCTAATAAGGACACTTCAGTCATTTAAGAGGTTGTATAAGGGCTGCAGGTAACAGTTACACAACAAAAGTGTAAGCCTTTTGCAGCCGCTATAGGACATTTGCGTCACTGCAAGATTCAGTTTTTGTCAACTATACAACTATTCTGTTACGTGATTCTATTTTATTGCAATCAAACTATTTCTTATGTATTGTATAGACGAAGTGAAGAATATATAACTAACACAATACAGTCATCTTGTTTACTTACATATCGGCCATTGTGAATTTCATACACAGGTATATGATAAACTTCTACACTGTGATATAGGGCTATTGAATTACTTGCGCAGCAAATTTTATTGTGATTATCGTGCAAAGTAGTTACGCAATTTCTACGGGCTTCGTATTTGATTCATATTTTGATAATGATCAAAAGTATGTCTAGATTTTTAAGATGGAAAACTGAACTTATCTGCGTTAAATCTTCCACAAATCCTATATTTAGACATAATTACACTAATGTTTATCACTTTATATCTGTAATTTCGTACTGAAACATAATTATTTAATATCAAATAGAGGAATAAATGTTTGCCCAATATGGCGGGTGGTTGTGTATAATCATGGCATCTTTCATGTTGTCTTTAGTTTATTAGAATATTTTGGTGTTGCCTGCAGTTGTTATACAACCATTTGAGAAATGTCAAAAATGAAATACCGACAGAGTCGAATGATTTACCTAGAATTTGTACCAGATCTATATCTTCTGTTTGAACAGTTGATAAAACCTTTTTAAACAATATGCATGCGTTGTTTGTCTTAAAACATTGGTTATGGCATTTTAGCAAAAATTTGACAGCAGAAAGTTAGGTTATGGTGAAGTTGTATACCAACATATTTAGCATATGTACAGCCTTTAACAGTTACTAAACAACAGTTGTATAAGTGCTTCCGTTGGGAGCAATTTGTTGGCTACAGTACTAAATTTGCACAGCAAAACCACAAGGCTCGGGTTTGTTTTATAAACGTTACCATGGATGCCACAACATAACCATTTTGACTAACCTGCAAATATGCCGTATAAAATAGTTGTAGAAACGTTTATGCAACAGTTAAAAATTTGTCCTATAAGGTGTTGTGTAACTATGCTATAAGAATATTTTAAACACCTCATTTTAGAGCAAATATGTTGCAGAAAGCAAATTTGCATTCCACACAACATTTTGGTGTTCAGGCAAGAACAATAGAGAGCTTTTATGGCTGAACGGTTCTTTTACCAAAAGCTTATAAGCACTACTTTGCTAGTTGCGTTTAAACGCCCATGGCTGTCTTTAATCAAAAGTTTATATATAGTAAATACTCTTGAAAACCACAAGTTTGAAAGAAATGCTGTCCACGCTTAGATGTGGTATTTTTCTGAAAACTATCAGACGCCTTTAAAACACCAAAAAACTGAGTTTGGCGATTTTTACTTTTTCGTTTTCTGTCCCTAGCTCCGCTGCAGCTGTATCGATTTTCAAAACTGACAAAACCTTTTCGTCCTTTGCTTAGTAGTAAACTTCTATCAATGTTTTGTGGAAATCCGAGCGGTTATAGAGGGATTATCGAACAGACCGAAATACAGACCGATAGGCAACCGACAGAATGGTTGGCATGGTTTTTCGTGATGTACATTTCTTAACAGATGCCTAAATGCCAGGACTCCTCGTCTGCTATGAGGATCCAAAGGTACATCGTTAATTCAATTTTTGAACTGCCGGAAGTTAGTAGAACCGGGAAAAGTGTAGTCGGGGCGGCAGCACCCCAAACCTGTGAGCAATACTGGAGAATAGGTCTTATCTGTCATGTAACATCCAAAAAACCGCCGCACCGTTGGTAGTTCGCTTTCAGATTAAAGATATGCTACTGTACTTACTGAGAAAGCCATGCAACCTAAGATCAAACAGTTAAGTTGGTGATAAAGTATTCAGATTATGCACTTGAAAACTTCGTGCTGGCGGTCGGTTGAAAAAAAACCTGGAATGTCTGAAGTTGCAGGTGCGTCTGAGTAAGGGTGCATCGAACACTTCGGAGGATGTCCGCCCCATGCTTGTGGTCCACGAATAGTACGGTCAGTTGTAGTATATGTTGTAAGCAACAAACACTTAAACAATGAAATTGTAATTTCAAATTAGGGGACAAAATACTGTAATGATTCTCATGATAAGGGACCTCGGTTGGCCGCGTGGGTCAGAGTGTCGTGCTACTGATCAGCCGGCCGGCCGGGCCGCGAGTTCGAATCTCGCCTCCGCCATGGATGTTGTGTGTTTGTTTTAGGCAGCAGCGGTGACCGCAGTAGTAGACTCTTCGGTCTCCTGATCAGTCGCCGTGCGCTGTGCGGGTTCGAGTCCCGTCCCAGGAGAAATGTTTCTCTTGGCCATGGATGTTGTGATTGTCCGTAGGTGGTAGATGGTCTCTGACTGTCGAACGCGGAGGTACCACCCGGCGGTTCTCGTAGGCGGAGCCAGAATGTGTGCATGTTTCATGCACACGTGTTCCCTCGCCAGAGTCCGTGTGGCGTCCCCCCTTTCCCATGTATCCCCCATAGCCCCACGGTACCCAATGGGTGCTTAGGCCTTAGGCCTTCGTGGTAGTTGGAGTATAAAAAAAAAAAATGACTATTCTGTGTCTGTTCATCGCTCTGTCTGCCTGTCCGCTAATCCTTGGCCCGTTCTATATCATAAAAACTTGAAACTTGAAACAAAGCTGATTTTCTCAAAAACGATTTATTTTATCGATGTCAAACAAAAGTATATTCTTTCGGCTCGAGGCATCAGGCATCCAAATATGTCATGAACTTTTTCAAGGCTGAGATACAGTTCCAACAGACAGCTTGCTGCTTGCACTCTTGCAGTGGTTGTGCTGTCTTATTTCGATAGGAAGTGAAATGTCGAGTTGAAACATCATATCGAACGAAAAACTGATATGGGAACTGTCAGGCTGTTGGAGTGATGGTTTGTTTTAGGGAAACTAATTATCCAATGTGACCGCACACAGAACTTATCAAATTATTTGTAAACATGGTCATAGTGTACAATTGTTTGTTTTTGGAATACATTGTTACATCATTACCAGAATAACGGTTTTAATTTTATGAAAACAGTTTCTGTTGATCAAATTGAAGCCAGCTTACCTACCGGCTGTTGTAACAATTTCGACATTCAAAAGACAGTTTTTGAGTTACTTCAAGCAGCTTATATTAAACAACCTGCATATGCAAAGCATCACAAACTATTATATCAATTTTCAGATAATGATTGTAGAAGGAAGATAAACCAAAATATGTGTGTAAAAATAAAAAAAAAATTTACCTTGTTTTATAAAGTATCCTCCCGACAAGTATTTCAGTGCGGACCTGTATTTGATCGTGCGGTCTTGGAGCACCGGCATGCCCTCCCCTGTGAGGTCTAAGTCACCTGATTCACGAGCCCTTTGTACTACATTAACAAAGGCACGAGGGGTTGGTTGTACTCGATTGGGAAACCGATCCGCATAAAACCGTGATGCCGCGGCAGCATTTTGTAAAGACTCCCCTCCCCGTAAATAAGAATCCACCATTTTCGTAAACATGTGCCATTTTTTATTTCGTTTGAGCCACGCAACA